TCTAGTTAGCAGCCAAGTGCCTTACTCAGTATGCTACCAGGGCTCCTTACAGCTACCATGTTGTTGTCATTAGGTGCCATTGAGTCAGTTCCTACTCGTAGCAACCCTATGTACAACAGAACGAAATACTGCCCGGTTGTATGACCCAATAATTCTACTCCTAGCTATATATGATTTCATTTTCCTTGGATGCACAATCAACACCCACGGAAGCAGTAGTCAAGAAATCAGATGTTGTATTGTACTGGGAAAGTCTGCTGTAAAAGAGCTCTGCAAAGAGCAAAGACATCACTTGGAAGACTAAGGTGCACCTAACCCAAGCCATGGTATTTTCAGTGGTCTCATATGCACGTGAAAGCTGAACAATGAATAAGGAAGACTGAAAAAGAGTTGATGGTTTTGAGTTGTGCTGTTGGCAAAGCATGCTGAAAATACCATGGACTGCCAGAGGAAGGAAGAAATCTGTCTTGGAAGAAGTGCAGCCAGAATACTCCTTGGATGCGAGAATGGCCAGACTTTGTCTCACTTACTTTGGTCATGTTGTCAGAAGCGGCTGTTCCCTGGAGAAGGATATCATACTTGGTAAAGTAGAGGGTTAGCAAAAAAATGGGAAGACCCTCAATGAGATGGACTGACACAGTAGCTGCAACGATGGGATTAAGCATAGCAAGGATGTAAGGATGGTGCAGGACTGGGCAGTGTTTCATTCTATTGTACATATGATCACTATGAGTTGGAGCTAACGCAACAGCACCTAACAACAACAGGTATATATCCAAGACTTGAAAGCAGAGACTCAAAGAGACCTTGGGATAGTTAAGGTTTTGAATCAATTTGGCTAGACCATGATTTTAAGTGATGTAGTCATCCCCATGATGTAATGTCATCATGTCCATGATGAGATATGCTATGAGCAACCAACCAGTTGCCAAGGAGTTTCCTCATGGGTGTGGCCTGCTTCCAATATACATGGATGTCTTGGGAAAATTCTCTAGCTTTCTGCTGGATCTTGGATCTGCATCTAGCTCACCATCATCTCTAGTTATTGGAGCTGAACTGGTGGCCTGCTGATCTTGGGACTGTTGTCTTCCAGCCCGTGAGCCAACAATCTGCCATTTTACCTGCTGATCTTGGGTTTGTCAGGCCTTATAGCTGTGAGACAGGAAACAACTGCAGCTTGATGTTTGACCCACAAACTTGGGACTTGCCAGCCTCTACAACTGTGTGAGCCATTCCCCCCCTCTCTCTATATATTATGTACACACACACACACACACACACACATACCAAAAACCAAACCCATTGCCATCAAGTCAAGTCCAATTCATAGTGACCCCCACTGGGTTTCCTAAGGTTGTAAATCTTTACGGAAGTAGACTGCCTCATCTTCCTCCCACAGAGCAGCTGGTGGATTTGAACCACCAACCTTCTGGTTAGCAGCCAAATGCCTTACCTACTATGCGACCAGAGCTCCTTTGTGCATGCATGTGTGTGTATACATACATATATATATAAGCTTCACTGGTTCTGCTTCTCTAGAGAACCCAGGCTATACACCAATGTTCACTGCGGTACTATTCACAATAGCCAAAAAGTAGAAACAACCTAAATGCCCCTCAACAGATGAATGGATAAACAAAATGTGGTACAGTGGAATACTATTCAGCTAGTAAGAGATAGGGTATGGATACAATACACATACATATTCATACACATACAGTCTGGATGGAGCTGGAAGATATTATGTTGAGTGAAATAAGTCAATCACAAAAGGACAAATACTGTATGACCTCACTTACATAAACAGAAAAGGCAAATGTATAAAGGGCGAGAGGGAGGATGAAAAGGGGGGTTAAGGGTAATGGAAAAATCACATTGATTATGGGTAGGGTTACACAGCCAATTACTGTAATTGCTGTCAATAAGTTGCACAGCTGTAAAAATGTTGAAATGACAAAAGTTATATGACAGATATATTCACAACA